TGACAAACATGCAAAAAAATAAGAAATCAGGAAGAGGGCAAACACTTTTTCACACAACTGTACATATTGAAAACAGTGCTTAACTGTGACAACGGATCAAATTAGTGAATATTTGTGACTATTTTTAAGCGATCTCCCAACTGTTCACTAAACATCCGATATACAATTTCAACTACAGTCCTTTTTCACCAGAGTGCTGTCATGTCACTGACATCAAGAAATCAGCTATGGGTTTGGATACAAACATCTGTAATCATACTGGGAAGCTCTCAGTGTGAAGTTACAGGAGTGTGAGGCTAAATAAAACATGGATGCACAGAAACAACCTTTCCAATAAACATATACCATAAAGGTTTATAAGAAATCTGAAGCAGCGATTTATAAAAAAAAAAACACTGCAGACAATTTCACTCCATATATAGAGGTAGAATGCTGGTTTTGGGAACGCTTTTCAGAAGGGCATAGTCTTATGGTCCTCTTCCAAAATGCCCTTTTAATGAGATCTGCTTGGTCTGATTGGAATTCTACTCCGCATCATTCACAAAAGCGGTTTCTAAATTCCCATCCTACTCTCCCAGAAAGATAAACGGCAGATATTCAGAGAACCATTTCTGGAATCCGCGATCTTGTATAAGCAACACTCCCTCCCTGCTTTCCTTTGAATGTGGCCGGGGGGCTTCTTGGGAGCATGGCATTGCGTGTGAAAGGACCGGCCCTGCCCAGGCCACTCAGTACTTTGGCCCCATGCAATTTGGGCATTAGCTCCCCTGCCACCAGCCTGAGAGCTAAAAGTGTTTTAAAAAAGAAACAAAAAAAAAAAAAAAAACACACAAAAAGGTAAACATTGCTTCCACAATTGATAATGCTTCTTTTTGCCTTCCGAGCTCACTGGGACAACATGGCTTCCTGTCGGGGAGGGGGGTTTCCTGTGCTGAGTGGGAGGGAGGGCGGGAGAGGAGATGTGGAGAGAGCAAGAGAGAAAGAATGGGAGGGCACCGAAGCACGAAAGCCAGGCTTTTGCATAACCTCCTCTTTAGGAGCAGACACGGGGAGGGAGGGGGAATGTTTATTGATTTTAGTCACACACATATTGTAAAGAGGAACTTTGGTACGAGCCTTTAGCACGCTATGGGAACCGTAAGAGGGGGGGGGGGGGGGGGGGG